TTCAGACTGGCTGACTACCTCTCTCGACCGTGTCCAGCTAGCCGTCGTGTAACAATTTGTAGTTTTCGCACAGCGCGGTGGTGTATTGCACTTTCCTCGTTTCCGCGACTAACGTAACGAATGCGACAGATTTCGCGACTCTCCACTAACTGTACTCTCGGACAAATTTTGAAGATAGCATTACAGCTTCGTATAAAATTTAAAGGACCTCACTTGCATTCTCTGCTACGTTGTGGCATAAGGTATGTGCGTAAAAATTACTTAGTAACATAAGAAATTTCGTATTTAAATGACGATAAAATTGTAAAAAATCAGATATTGTTAAAAATTACATATATGTCAACAGGAATTAATAGTCATATGCAGTCATATCAACAATATAAGATATTAACAAATATTTACAGAACATATGAGACAGTATCAATAATTACAAAATTTGTTGTTAAATTAGTGCACGTTATTAAATTTGAGTAGATATATATCCGTACATGGATATGCTAGATATACAATCTTTTTTGGCCACGATATTTTATTCTTTTTCTCTAGCACGATAATCCGTAGCGTTCAATGGTATTAGAGCACTCAACTGTGACATATCGACAGGTTGACTTGTGCCAATATCATGCCAGAGAAAACTTTTGAAAACTACGAGAATGACAGTAATCGTTAGAAATCTCGCGAAAATGCGGTTGATATATTTCAAATATGCAAGATATTTTCATTAGTTCCCCAAATCTTCAGTCAATCTCGCCGAAAATTTTTCATTCAACTGACATTTTTTTCGGTAGCATCATTTCCTGAGAGTTACGACAAAAATATCATAGTGAAAAACCGTACTTCATCGACGATGTAGAAAGCTCTCTGTCACTGGCAAAACACAATGTCGATTGCAAACTCGGTTAAATATAGATCCCAGTTTTCTTTTTTCTTCGTCAGACAACGCGCGCTAAGGAGCAGTTTAATTTTTTATGCCGCTACTTTAGCTACTTTCGGCAAGCCGGACAACTCGAGAAACATCGCATGATAAACTTCTCCCATTTTCACGCGCGGTGATAAACACAAAATCTTAATTCCTGTAATTATACCTTTGCAACTTTCGTGGTACTTGAGAATTAACTGCATTATTTTCTAAGACATTTCCCTTTATTACATCCGGTTTCAAAGGACAAATGTAAAATTTATGTACGTCGCAAAATTCACTATTATTGTTGATAATAATTATTTACCCTGTAAATAATTTTTCCGAAAATCTATTTAAATCTAAGAGGAGTTTTCGAAAACTTTGTTTCTCGTTTTGCGTATGGTGGACATTTCGCATAACATTTTAGGTAAAATTAATAATTTTACAGAAAAACAAAAATTAAATAGAACTTATAAATTACCTCTTTTTAAATGGCATGTGGTTCTCTCTACAGTCTTTTTGCACTATGCGCAATATTGCAATGTGTTATGGCCGTTTAAAGTGAATTACAGATTTCGACAGATTCACGGTGCACCAACGAAAATGTTCGAAAATTGCTCGATCGTGATTTTTGCACAAGGTGTGCCACCAAAATTGTACTTTTTCAAGGTGAACTATCGAAAATCTACTAGATTAGCAGAAATTTTGACATTTTATTTCTGGCTTTTCTCACCTGCAACACTATACTACAGAATTTAGTTCAACCGCGTAGTTCCGTTAGCGTCAAAAATGTACGTTTCTTCAGAAAATAATATCGGAAATTCGCTCGCGCGCCTCGTTTTTATATCTCAAATTCTCTTCCTTTTGTGATTCACGATTTTTCCTCTGGTTAGAGACGATATATCTCAGGATTTATTCAATCGCGAAGCGTGCGTTAGCGTCAAATGCTTCTCATGGAAATAATATCGCAAATTCGCCTGTCACCTTAACTTCGCGTCTCAAGTTTTCTTTTCTTTTTTTTTAATTCTGATTTTCCTCGGTAGATAATTTGGCGTATTTTGGAATTTATTCTATCACGAAGATTCAGCTGGAGTCGAATATACGTTCAAAAATAATAGCGTTACGATTTAACTCGGTTTTAATACTTTTTTATTCCTTCGCTAAGCCAAGAAAATTTCTTTCATCTATAACGAAATATTCTAAAATTTACTGTGTCGCGAAACTTTCTTCAGTGTTAAATACGCGCGCTGAAAATAATATTCAAAATTTATATTTCATTCGAGGAGATTGCGGTTAAAAGTTACAAGGATAAGTTATAACATATAAAAAAACTATATAAAAAAACATTATAAACAAAATACAAAAGCGCAAAAAAGAGATAGAAGTTTCTAATATCGTTAGCTATTGCACGATAATAGAATCGCATCATCGTCGGGCGTGTTTATATGAGCTTAATTGAAAACTGCAAATAAGTAATCTTTACATTTTTTGTAGTTTTGACTTTAATTTTTATACAATGACGTTTGAATAACAAATAATATATTTTTAAAATTAAAAATAAATAAAACTCGTGGAATAATAATTAAGAATTAAAAATTAAAGAAAGCTTATGAGAGTCAATGCAATTTTTTTGCATAATTTGTATATAATTACAACAAATGATGTGTTACATAGTTATCACAGCGCAGTCGTAGTAGACATTTCAACTCTATATAATTTGGGTCCTCTTCAGTGCTTAGTATATATTCATGATAAAGTGAAACGGTTACTATCTAATTTAAAATCCATTATTCCTCCATTTGTAAATTAGTAAATCAAATGTAAAAATTGATAATGGCATTACAGAAATAAAAGGTTCAATTAAGGAAATGAGTAATTTAAAAGTAGGTGACAAATTAAATTGTATTGAGTCAATGACAAGCCTCATGTTAATAATTCGAGGGCTAATTAATTAGATTTGAGGTATCTATTAAAATAAAATCAAATTATAATAATATGAAACTCTAGAACTTATTAAACTTTCCCCAAAAGCAACTTCAAGAAAGAAAAAATTTATTCGCAAAACTAGAAAATCAGCTATTTGAAACAGACATGCCTGACAAACAATCTCTTGAAGTAGAGCAGAACACAAAAAATAAAAATTAAAAATATTGAAAAATAAAAAACAGTTTGTAAAAAAAATATTGCGCGACAAAAGAAGATAATGGAACTATAGTAATAATAATTATTATTAATTGCAAATTATATTGCAAGTTTTCATTAACTTTTGTTAATATTTTTTATATCCGTATAGTATTTTAAAACTAAGAAATTATGAAGTTTTTTATTTGAAAGTTGCTATTCTGAATTGATTACTTCAAACCAGTAAAGAATTCGTTTTTTAAAAAATGTTACGATTAGCTTCGATCTCCTCTATTTACTTATTTTGTTTTTTATTTTAGTTGCTAATTTTATTTCTTCTTGCTGCAGTAGTAATAGATTGAATTTTTCTTACCGCGAAGACTTTGTTATTATCAATTCACCCAATAATTATCACAATTAATTAAAACATATACAAATGATCAAAATTAAAAAATTAGTCGTCAAACGTGTTATAATACAAATGAAACTTCGGTTATCCTATTGCTACCATTTGATATAGAAAAAAACGAAGTATTTTGTGTATTTTATTTATCATAATTTATCTTATTATCATAATTGACTGAAAAACGATGATTAATTCTATATTCAATCTGTTATCTCTCTTTCTCATCTTCTCTTTCTGCTAATTAAATCCTGATTTACATACAGTATTATGATTCCTTAATTAATTTCTCTATATCCTCTATATTTACTCATTTGTAAAATGCTTTAGAACGCTTAACGTTAAATGCAATAGGCTCTCTAATTCTGAGTTTAACTTGCTTAACGTAGAGACCGGGGATTTAATGCCAACGTGTCATGGAAATCAAGCAACCACATGTAACACTAATGCAGGGTGCGAATACGGAGATCGATATACATATCGCGCTTAGGTTCTCTCGTAAGCATGTAATCGGAAAATCGCGTCACGATATACGGGACTGCAACGCTCAGATTCTGTGATTCTCTCGTGAGCATATAATCGGAAAATCCGCCATGACAGAGGAGGAGGAGAATTCTAAGGGCTACTTTCCCTTTCCCGTTGCACATGTGGATGCGCTCGATATATCTATTCTAGCCGGTCTACTATTCCTCCCTATAATATATAGGATATTTTGAGATAGCAGAAATTTAATATTAGACTTCTCACAAACTTTACAATATATTGCTTATGCTGAAATGCAATATCAACATACATTGATAAAAATAATTTGAAAAAAGTTTTGTACATGTAGATAGATAATATAATAGAGATTCTCTCTTCCATCTTTAAAAATCATTATTTAAAAGATTCAATGCATGCATTATGATACATTCAATATTACCTTTGGTGTAACCACGTTTTACAATACATTCTTTTGTTAAAAAAATATTTAATGTTGTTGGTTATGATTACTTGGATTTTTCTGTACTCAATCATGCTATCAAGAGTATCTTATTACTGGTTGCAATATTGACGCTTAATTCACTTTCGACGCGTTCGCTCGCAACATTAAGCTTCTTGCGAGCTTATTCCTGTCGATAAACGCGGGCCGATCCATTAACAATCCAATTTCTCACGCCTCAAGGAAAGAACTCTATAAGGAATTAACCCCCGACAAACTCTTTTCTCTTCTCTTCTCTTCTCCTTGTGACTCTCTTCAGCCTTTTTCACGATCGGTCCAGACGGTACAAGCGCGATTCGCAGTCTCCGCTCGAACGAGTCAAATGGAACGCAGAGGGCCTCTCCCGTAGGATCGATAGAATAGTGGGGAGATAGCTCTACCGGGCGGTCGAGAGGAGGACGACGTGTTGGAGGATTGAAGTGAGATGAAACGATGAGGAGCCGAGGTCGCAGGGGGTGGAAGAGATGAGGGCGCTCCGGCGGCTTCCGCGTCGCGCCATGGTTGCTGCGAGCAGCATCGGCGTCGGCGTCGTCGTCGCGGTGGCCGTCCTCATCGCCGGCGAAAGCGGCCACCACCAGACGGTATACGCAGCAGCAGCCAAAGGCAGCCTCCTGCGCTCGGTCCAGTTCGCCTTCCGCCGTCGCTCGGTTAACTACGCGACTGCCAGTGCCGGTGGCGTCGCGACGCACGTCGTTTCGTATCACTGCGTGTCCGCGTATCCGACGACGTTTCACTACTTTGCGGAGCTAAACCACGCGGGTGATGCATGGACCATACGCGCGATAACCTCCGAACGTTCCGCCCTTAGAATTTATGATCGATGCAAGGGTAACGAAATCCTTTCTCATCGTGAACGACAAGGACGTTGAACCGACAACTTGGAAACGAAGAAAAAGGTGCGGGGAAACAAGAGGTGAAGATTGTCTCCACGAGAGAGTAGTGATAGCCTCCGGATCAAGTCCGCGAATCAACGTCGACTTGGCTCAGAAAGGTACAAAGACTCGTTATTTGAAAGTGCGAGTGTGTCTATAAATGTTCGTGAGATGTTCTACTTGCGTTTAGGCAATTGCAGTGTCTGATTTATAATGTGATATTTCTACTGGCTAGGAAATGCAGGAAGTCGTTTTCTGTGCTAGTGTCCATTCTCTTATTGTTAATTTAGCATAATGTCCTCGCATCCAGAAAATTGTGAGGTCTGTTTCGTTCTTTTACTATTTACAAAAATATCTTAGAGAGATATATTTACATTGTTTTTTGTTAATCCAAGAACGTGAAATAGTTTGTGCGCTTCTTTACTTGCTTCTTGGGATATCTGACATATTACGTGATCTTTCTACTAGTTTCTAGTACTAAAAAAGCTATTTTCTGAAGACAGGAGATTATTAATAAAATAATTTATGTATTTTTTATCGTTTATGTCATAAAAGCTATGATATATTTGACTTGTTTTTAATATGTCTACTTAAAACTTACAGAATTCCACTTTTAATAACTCGAAAGATATCTTATATTTGCGTTATTCTTTATTTATATTTAAAAACGTAATATATCGAATTTATTAAATAATATTCTTACTGATTTGTGAACTAATTGATTCATAAAACTATAAAATAAAGTCAGTTTTAAGAAAATGCTTATCTTACTCGACTTTCGAATTTGTACACATTACATTTGCGTAGTTTTCGCGTCTGATTTGTATCGCGTGTTTCTACTGACCCAGAAATATAGAGGCAATCGTATTTTTAGAAAACGTGAGAGTGCTAATCTCTTGAATTGCTACGTAATCTTCCTCTTGTATCTAGGCTCTTGTCAAGTCTGATCAGTTTGTGGTGTTTCTACTAGCTGGGAGATCGACGGTTTCTAGGTAGAATGCCCTAAGCAAAGTTAGTATCTAGCGAATGGGATTCTAGAGATGTGAAAGGGACGAAAGTTTTCGATTTACGATTGAAGCTTTGGCACTGAACGGAACTTGCTCATTGTAAATTCCTTTTGTTTCGTTAGATCGCGAACCTGCAAATAGCCTTTGCTCTCTCGAGGTGTATTCACAATTCCCAGTGCACTTGTGTGTCGACACCCGTGTGTGTTCGCAGGTGTACTTATTCTCAAAGATAAGGTAAAAAATATTTCTATTCTACTTTTAGTCACTTGCAAGTTTGGATATTTTCAATCTGCTCTTTTTACAACTACAGTTTTTTAAGACTAAATGATTTTGAACATAGACATTGCGTGGTTAGATTTGAATATTATTTTATTGGATGACGAATTTTTGTTTTACCATAAATTTTTTATTAACAAATATTAACGTATTTTGTATTTGAAACTTGTATTATCAAGAATTTAATGTTAAATTTTTGAAACTTTGAATGAAATAAGCCGCAGGGATCCAAACAGCTAACAAAACCTTGCTCCTCGATAAACTTCTATTAAAGTTCACTTTAACAGAATATTAATCTGAGGCTTAGTTGCTAGAATACATAATGTCGAAAAGTCAAAAGTTACAAAGAAAGATATTGCACCCCGCTAACTTTTCGTCGAGGAAAAATCGCCGCTAAATTCGTCAGAGAGTACTCTTTTGGAGTTTGATGCAAATCTCGTGAAACGCCCCGTGGTATTACATAGGGGATGAACGCTCTCTTGCTCGGTATTGTCCTATATTTGCGCTTCGTTTGACGAAGAAAGCGAAGCGATACTTTAAAAAAAAATTGGAGCGCGGAATAACGTGAATCGACATGTACTCGAAACCTTTCTCATAAATAAGTCGCGCGCAGTCTGAAGCCATTATCATTTGCAGGCTCAGAGCGCGTGGAAGACACGACGTTGCCCTCGATTTATTATCTTCGTCCACACGTCGGCAAGCCGCAGAAACAGCGGGACAATGCCAAAAGTTCGTGAAAATGCCAACTCGCCGGCTCCTATTTCCTTTCGCGAGCGACTCTGTCGCTGAATTCACCAAACCGCTTTGCATTCCAATGAATATTAATCGAATGTAATTATTAAACGCAAATTGGAACTCAAACAGCGACGGTTTCGTCATCCCTTTTCCCACCCTATCTCGATAGAATTGTCGGAATGTCCAGCTTCATTCACACGCATCTGTCTATCTATCTATCTGCGTGCAAATTTGATTTAAAAAGCCACGAATTCGTATGACTAAATCTTTTTGTATCGTCGGGATTTTTCAAATTGAACATCCAAGTTTTAAGAGGAAGCTTTGCTTTTTTTACTTGTTCTTTCTTTTAATAAAACCTTTGAAAACATTTAAGGATCAATGAAATCGCTTAAGGCAGTAATGCGCAACCTTTTTTAATAGTTATTTTTAGAAGGCCATTTTTAGAAATAGGTAAAATCTTTTGGGCTATAATGTTTATTTTGTTTGCATAAGAAAATATGATTTTATATTTTTGTGACTATGAGCCAGTAGGCCGCAAAAATTTCACAGAGCTGTATGCAGCCTGCTGACTGCAGGTTGCGCATTATTATTATATAGCTTAAAGCTCGTGTCACACTAGGCAATGGAGACTGAGAATTGTGAATCAAAGATTAGAATTTGACCAATCAGATTTTAATTTTAATCCGTTTCGTTTTGATTGATTGAATTCTAATTTTCAATTAAAAGATGTTGGTTATATCGGCAAATGGTGGACTGTAGAGGCTGAAACTAATTTTTAACAATTATTATTTACGAGTATGACTAAAAAAGGGTCATACTCTTCTCTTATTGTATTCAACCTATATTTAAAAGCAGACGAATATTTTTAACCAAAGAATTATTTCTACGGCTTATCATGTAACGGCTTAAAGTTTTATTAGTCTTCGCATAAATTGGTCATTGAATCCAAGGGAGAAAAGATTTCCTCCTGCAACGCTTATTAAGATTATTTTCAGTGAATTGGCGGTTCAATTTTCCAATAATTATCATCATTCGCATCGATTAAATCGCGCGTTCAATTAAAACGCATTAGCAAGGCAAATTTTATTGCGTCCCGCAGCCTATTTAGGCTATAATGAACAAGTGACGATGGTGTAATTTATGTTTTAGACTAACTTTATATAATAACATTTTTCAGTTTCGTGATTTGCGAATGAATAGAAAGAAAAGGGGATGTGTGTAATTTTCTTTAACTTGTGTTGTTTACTACAATTAAATGTTTATTAAATGTACCTATTTTTTATTAAATTGTATAAAAAATTGAAAAATGAAATTAAAATTAAACTGTAAAAATAAGATCCTAATAATCTTAATTCATTAATATTAACATTTTTCTGATATAACGAATAAGAAATTAAAATGGGTAAAAATAAAACTTCATATATTATTCTATTATAAAAGTTTCATCTTTTCGAGATTGATATCCCATAGACAACGGGAATATAATTTTTATATTAACATTTTCCTTACATGTTTTCAATGTATCAAACATTTGTCTATTATATTTTGTCTTGTGTAATAATTTTGTTATTTGAATTAGTGCAGAAATATCTAGATTAATACGTGAGTTTTCCACGCAAGTAGAACATCGATTTTTTCGGTATACCTTACTGACGTTTTGTTTGCCAAATTATCAGACGAAAATTGGCATTTAGAAATATTAGAAATCACATTCGAGATTAATACTTACTGCAAATGATTTCTCGTGAAAATGATTCATACTTGTTATTAAATCCGAAATCTTGATTATTTACATCCGGTGGGAACAAGAATGCGAGATGGGCATCAATTAACATCGGATTAATTAGCCACGAGGACGAACCGACTAGCTCCTGCGAGCTAAGACAGTCAACTTGAAATTTAACTTGCGCATCGCATCAACGTTCCTGACATGAACTACTCGCGTCAAGATGGATCGCGCTAATGGATTAACGTTCCTACGACGTGTTTCATTTGTGTACGTACTTCATTAATAAGATTAAAAATCTAATCAACAAATTTGCCAAAGAGCGGATAAAATTTGAGAGCATTTAATCCTATGGTTGTATTAAAAATGTATCATACAAAAAACCAATCGCGTGACAGCGCTTCGAATCGAATATGTATTCAAATAAACGTCAGTATAATTTTGTGGAATCTATTGTCTGTCTTACATTTTCTGTTTTACATTTTCTTATTTTAGTCGTTGAATCTTCGTTTAATCGACTAGACACGCGCGAAAGCTGAAACTCTTAAACATTATGTGCAATCGATAGTATACATTATCGTTATAGGAAGACTTGCCAAATCAGTTGCATTTCATAATATCGCATTTTACTTTTCGAATTCGTATATACGTAGAATTTGTGAATGCGGCCGCATCATAAACGTAATTTAAGCGTTTTCTGTGGATTCCATCGAGAGATCCCGATTTCATTCATTTTTGAGGGTCTCTTTCACCAATCTCGGTTAAGCTAACCGACGTTACATCCGCTGAACGAGTCCCACGTAACCATCAGTTAGCTTAACCAAGGTGAAAGAGATCCTTAATACGAATTTTATTCCAAATATATTATTATTTATACTTCAATAGATTTTTTATGTGTTATTATTTGCTCTGAAGTGATTACGAATGCATGAGCATCTTGCAATCAGATGCAGTTTAGCATCTAAATTGGTATATTTACTTCGAAATTGGCAAAACGGAATATGATTTATTATGGATTAACTGTGTTGTTAATATTTAATAAAACTGCATTAAATATTTCGGTGCTAATCGACAAACAAAAAGAGAGAGGTAAAAATGCTAAAGAATACTGTAATCAATTTATTATTTTTCTTTTGTTTCGTTTTTTATTATTTCTTTTATTACACTTTCATTTCAATCTTTCTCTCTTTATAATGTTTCTTTATTTTAAAAATATTAACTAACTGTAGAAATCATATTATTTGAATAAAGATTCAAAAAATTTGAATTAATTAATAGCGTGTATTATTATATTTTCCTATATCTTTTTTAGATCATAATTTTATATTTACTGAAATAGCTTTGATTAAGTTTAAAAATACATTATAATTAAAAA